ACCTGGTGCTCGTCTCCGGTACCTGGTGCTCGCCTCCGGTACCTGGTGTTCGCCTCCGGTACCTGGTGTTCGCCTCCGGTACCTGGTGCTCGCCTCCGGTACCTGGTGTTCGCCTCCGGTACCTGGTGTTCGCCTCCGGTACCTGGTGCCCGCCTCCGGTACCTGGTGCTCGCCTCCGGTACCTGGTGCCCGCCTCCGGTACCTGGTGCTCGTCTCCGGTACCTGGTGCCCGCCTGCGGTACCTGATGCTCGTCTCCGGTACCTGGTGTTCGCCTCCGGTACCTGGTGCTCGCCTCCGGTACCTGGTGCTCGCCTCCGGTACCTGATGCTCGCCTCCGGTACCTGGTGTTCGCCTCCGGTACCTGGTGCTCGCCTGCGGTACCTGGTGCTCGCCTCCGGTACCTGGTGCTCGTCTCTGGTACCTGGTGCTCGCCTCCGGTACCTGGTGCCCGCCTCCGGTACCTGGTGCTCGCCAGTTGCTTCTCATTTACAATAATGGTACTAACATAATCTTGGTACACTTGTGAACCTTCGGTGTTAACTATATATATTGTTAATTATATATATAGTTGAAAGCGTCTCTTCACGAGATGTCAAATAATTTGTGAAGGTCAAGTTTGGGCAGCGTCTCCCTGACCTGGCATCTCTCCTGCGTCAGCTGGTTTTTCTTCACCTCTAAGTAATCTCTGTGGAATTCCTAGAGCTTGAGCACACCATAGTTCACCTTTCTGGGTGGGGAACTGCGTTGTCACCCTGACTCTCTGAGTGGCATCTTTCGTTACGTTGGCAGTGACACTGAGGGACAAGTGCCTTCTCCTGGTGGTGTAAACTGAAGCACAAACAAATCACTCTTCTGTAGTGGGTCCTGGATGGCTTTCTCAGATTTCCCAATTAATCAAACAACTGGTGAGTTTGTCATTCCAATGACATGTTATATACATTTTTACTTTGGAAAATTAAACAATACGTACCCTAGCAATCTGCATCACCTCAGACTAAAAGTTTAGTTAGTTAACCTCGAACAGAAAGCAAAGAATATCTGCAGCAAAACCAACCAAGATACTGAACGCCAGTTATACATTATTCCCTTACTCACTTTACTATTATAAATTTCTTGTTGACTGAAGAGATAAGCAGAACACGAGTATTTTCTAAGCTGTGTTGGCCTTTATGCACCTCTCACTCAGGGACAAATGTAGATAATTGAAAAATAAACTTACCTGAGAGATGGAATATTGATTCTGATTTTTTTCAGTTGTATAGTTTTGTGGGTTTTTTCAATGTATAATAGCTACCTGTTAATGATATTAAATACTACTTATTGTCAACATTACTTTTATTTTAAGTAAAAGTTTCTAAACTCACGAACAGCAAACTTCTTCTCTAGGCAAAAGTCTGCCACACGAATTCGCCTCTGTCGAGACTGTCCAGTCATTGAGTCTCTCAGCCACAAGACTCGTCCAGCTCCTTCATCACGTCACACTAATTTTTAAAAGGGGTGGACCTGTAAGCCAGCGGAAGGCCTCGGTCAAATGGCCAAAACCTCCAGCTGGGGGTCATCATATGACTAAGACCCACATCAGGAAACATCTGTCCTGTTTTCTGACAAAACTTACGTAACCTGACCTAACTCAGGCAAGAAGAATATTATGCACTGTGAACTAACTTACATCAGAAGCCCCTAGTGACAAATCCTCTGTAGGTTTTCGTTTTTTTTTTTTTAAATCATCTTTAGTGACCATTGTATGTATAATGGCCGGCGTAAACGATCATAAATTAACTTGAGAATTTGCCTGGTTACTTTAAGCACAGTATTTTAAAGACATTTGCCCTATATCAATTATTTAAATAAGTAATTCTGATTTGTATTACCAACCTACCACCTACTGTAAGCATAATATACATTATATATAAGTCTAATCTGTGTAGAGTATATACAAACAACCTCACACTCGAAAAGTTAAATGATAATCCTAAGAAAAAAGCACATACACTATGGTTTGTGTCGTAGCCGCGATCTAGATGTACCCAGACATCGCCAGACAATGACCCACCTCCATCACTCAACACGGGTTGACTTGTTTACGTGAAGCCCTTTATACAAGTTACGATGATCGCACTCCAACAGCACGTCTAATCCCACTAGCCTCTCGATTATAGCAAGTTAACACATGCTCAATTACCAGCCTCTCAAATCCTCATTCACACCATTCTTTGCACCAGTCAGTGTACTAAGCCACCAGTGTAGGACAGTACTGTTCTAGCCAGTGTACTAAGCCACCAGTGTAGGACAGTACTGTTCTAGCCAGTGTACTAAGCCACCAGTGTAGGACAGTACTGTTCTAACCAGTGTACTAAGCCACCAGTGTAGGACAGCACTGTTCTAACCAGTGTACTAAGCCACCAGTGTAGGACAGTACTGTTCTAGCCAGTGTACTAAGCAACCAGTGTAGGACAGTACTGTTCTAGCCAGTGTACTAAGCCACCAGTGTAGGACAGTACTGTTCTAGCCAGTGTACTAAGCAACCAGTGTAGGACAGTACTGTTCTAGCCAGTGTACTAAGCCACCAGTGTAGGACAGTACTGTTCTAACCAGTGTACTAAGCCACCAGTGTAGGACAGTACTGTTCTAGCCAGTGTACTAAGCAACCAGTGTAGGACAGTACTGTTCTAGCCAGTGTACTAAGCAACCAGTGTAGGACAGTACTGTTCTAGCCAGTGTACTAAGCAACCAGTGTAGGATAGTATTGTTCTTGCCAGTGTACTAAGCAACCAGTGTAGGACAGTACTGTTCTAGCCAGTGTACTAAGCAACCAGTGTAGGACAGTACTGTTCTAGCCAGTGTACTAAGCCACCAGTGTAGGACAGTACTGTTCTAGCCAGTGTACTAAGCCACCAGTGTAGGACAGTACTGTTCTAACCAGTGTACTACGCCACCAGTGTAGGACAGTACTGTTCTAGCCAGTGTACTAAGCAACCAGTGTAGGACAGTACTGTTCTAGCCAGTGTACTAAGCCACCAGTGTAGGACAGTACTGTTCTAGCCAGTGTACTAAGCCACCAGTGTAGAACAGTACTGTTCTAGCCAGTGTACTAAGCAACCAGTGTAGGACAGTACTGTTCTACCCAGTGTACTAAGCAACCAGTGTAGGACAGTACTGTTCTAGCCAGTGTACTAAGCAACCAGTGTAGGATAGTATTGTTCTTGCCAGTGTACTAAGCAACCAGTGTAGGATAGTATTGTTCTAGCCAGTGTACTAAGCCACCAGTGTAGGACAGTACTGTTCTAGCCAGTGTACTAAGCCACCAGTGTAGGACAGTACTGTTCTAGCCAGTGTACTAAGCAACCAGTGTAGGACAGTACTGTTCTAGCCAGTGTACTAAGCCACCAGTGTAGGACAGTACTGTTTCTAGCCAGTGTACTAAGCCACCAGTGTAGGACAGTACTGTTCTAGCCAGTGTACTAAGCCACCAGTGTAGGACAGTACTGTTCTAGCCAGTGTACTAAGCCACCAGTGTAGGACAGTACTGTTCTAGTCAGTGTACTAAGCCACCAGTGTAGGACAGTACTGTTCTAGCCAGTGTACTAAGCCACCAGTGTAGGACAGTACTGTTCTAGCCAGTGTACTAAGCAACCAGTGTAGGACAGTACTGTTCTAGCCAGTGTACTAAGCAACCAGTGAAGGATAGTATTGTTCTTGCCAGTGTACTAAGCAACCAGTGTAGGATAGTATTGTTCTAGCCAGTGTACTAAGCCACCAGTGTAGGACAGTACTGTTCTAGCCAGTGTACTAAGCCACCAGTGTAGGACAGTACTGTTCTAGCCAGTGTACTAAGCAACCAGTGTAGGACAGTACTGTTCTAGCCAGTGTACTAAGCCACCAGTGTAGGACAGTACTGTTCTAGCCAGTGTACTAAGCCACCAGTGTAGGACAGTACTGTTCTAGTCAGTGTACTAAGCCACCAGTGTAGGACAGTACTGTTCTAGCCAGTGTACTAAGCCACCAGTGTAGGACAGTACTGTTCTAGTCAGTGTACTAAGCCACCAGTGTAGGACAGTACTGTTCTAGCCAGTGTACTAAGCAACCAGTGTAGGACAGTACTGTTCTAGCCAGTTTACTAAGCCACCAGTGTAGGACAGTACTGTTCTAGCCAGTGTACTAAGCAACCAGTGTAGAACAGTACTGTTCTAGCCAGTGTACTAAGCCACCAGTGTAGGACAGTACTGTTCTAGCCAGTGTACTAAGCAACCAGTGTAGGACAGTACTGTTCTAGCCAGTGTACTAAGCCACCAGTGTAGGACAGTACTGTTCTAGCCAGTGTACTAAGCAACCAGTGTAGGACAGTACTGTTCTAGCCAGTGTACTAAGCCACCAGTGTAGGACAGTACTGTTCTAGCCAGTGTACTAAGCCACCAGTGTAGGACAGTACTGTTCTAGCCAGTGTACTAAGCAACCAGTGTAGGACAGTACTGTTCTAGCCAGTGTACTAAGCAACCAGTGTAGGACAGTACTGTTCTAGCCAGTGTACTAAGCAACCAGTGTAGGACAGTACTGTTCTAGCCAGTGTACTAAGCAACCAGTGTAGGACAGTACTGTTCTAGCCAGTGTACTAAGCCACCAGTGTAGGACAGTACTGTTCTAGCCAGTGTACTAAGCCACCAGTGTAGGACAGTACTGTTCTAGTCAGTGTACTAAGCCACCAGTGTAGGACAGTACTGTTCTAGTCAGTGTACTAAGCCACCAGTGTAGGACAGTACTGTTCTAGTCAGTGTACTAAGCCACCAGTGTAGGACAGTACTGTTCTAGTCAGTGTACTAAGCCACCTGGGAAAGAAATAGCCACCACTGTGCAGTATCACTATGATGCTATTTTGAGCTGGCAATTCCTGGCCCGTTTTCTTCCTGGCCAGCAGCAGCAGCAGCAGCAGCAACACCATTGAGGCGGTGGCCGGGGGCTGCCTACCAGCCTCCCACCCTTTTTACTGCCTCTTTTGGACAATAATGAGCCATTTCCTGGAGGATTTAATCGGGAGGATATTGATCCAGATCAATCAATAACGCGTCGTTAAAAAGGGACGAGAGCTAACGGTGGTATTGATGAAGATATTAATATCATACCCCAAAAGAAGGTTGACTGAATCGCGCGCTAGCGACTACAATTATAGCAACAAAGTCTCCACACGGTAAAACACACACACACACACACACACATATATACTCGCAAGGTGGGAACATACACACGCGTGCGGGACTCTCCAATGCTTGTCTTCAAGCCTTGGTGTCTCCTCTAGGGCCAGGGTTTTTGAGTGTGGCCAGAAATTCGTGTGAGAATACGCTGAAGGGCGAAGATAGTGAACCTCGCGGGTGGGATGCGATTTACGACGGGGCGCACAGGAACTTGTGGATGACAAATCAAAAAAAGAAAAAGAAAAAGAAAAGAAAAGAGTGAGTGGTTCGGTGGTCAGTATAATTCCCTCCGCCTCGGAAATATTTCTGTGGATTGGAAAAAAAAAACTAGGCAGTTTGGATAGCAATTGTGTGAGAGTTTAAAGGCACATGTGTCGCCACAGTTACATATCTGAGGATCATTCCCTGCAGCTGCTGGTGCTGCTGCTGTTACTGTTACTGCAGCTGTTGTTGCTGCTGTGTCTACAGCTGCTTCTCTTACTGCAGTTATTGCTGTGTCTACAGCTGCTTCTCTTACTGCAGTTATTGCTGTTTCTGTGGTTACAGCTACAGCTGTTACTGCAGCTGTTGTTGCTACTGTCATCACTCTCCTGGTAAGCTACGCTCATCGTCTCTTATTTCCAAAGGTCAGAGATTAGAAAAGAATTACTATTATTCACATAATCAATTATTTACATTTTCACATTGAGTGTGATTTGTCATCTTCATAATGTATTGATATAATCATTATTTTGAACCTCCATAAATACAGACACGCTCAGAAAAAAATATATAAACAAATGGTGGTTCGTAAAAATTTGATTGTACTTCTGGCTCCGATTAACACCGGGTTAAATCCCCAAGGTGTAAAGACAGAAAACAAGCCTTCTTTCCCTTTTGTTTTTGTTCCCCCTAGCAGAAAATAGGTCCCCAGTTGTTAGCAGATGCGTGGGTGGCTGTTGTGGGTTAGTTACATTGGGAAAAGTACTAAAAAAGAAAAAGGGCACAGATAGGGCAAAATACGAGGATTTTACAAGAGGTAAACATTGCCGGGTTTTGTATAACGCATTAGTTATACGCGGAACCCCTAGCGTATTTGGGGGGACGGTAACAAAGGACAAAGGTAGGAAAAATTGTCATATTAGTATCTATTTTGGTGTGGAGGGGGGAGAGGACTCCCCCGGGCCCCCCTCATACTATTTTTGAACATTAAAAGGAAAATCGGAGCCCCTGGCTCTTTGTTTCGTTTCCACTTACACAACACCAAAGAAAACCCCCCTCTCAAAGACGTCTTGTGAATCTGGTTTATGTAGCTATGTGTTGAAGGTGTGCGCACATGTGACGCTGCTGAAGGTGTGCGCACATGTGACGCTGCTGAAGGGTGTGAACAGTGAGTGTTTGGGGTGATGTACACGGGGATGTTTTTGAAGATGTGTGTAACGTGAGTGTGTTGAAGATGGTGCACACTGGGGCGTTAAAGGTGTGTGCACACGGGGGTGCGTTAAGGTGGTGCACACGTGGGTGCGTTGAAGGTGTGTGCACAGGTGTTGAAAACATCAGAATTCAAGAGAAACTTGACATCAGGATGACATCATCTCACGCTCCGCCAGACTATTAATAAAACAACAAAATAATCTTAATAATATAGTAAGTGTTAGAGAGAGACACGACTGTATACAAGTGACCTCCCGTCCTGCCTGCACCCTTCCTCGGATCAAACACTGTATACAAGTGACCTCCCGTCCTGCCTGCACCCTTCCTCGGATCAAACACTGTATACAAGTGACCTCCCGTCCTGCCTGCACCCTTCCTCGGATCAAACACTGTATACAAGTGACCTCCCGCCTCCTGCACCTTCCCGGATCAAACACTGTATAAAAGGCCCTCCTCCTGCCTGCCCCCTTTCCTCGGATCAAACACTGTATCAAGTGACCCCCGCCCTCCCTGCCCCCTTTCCTCGGATCAAACACGTATACAAGTGACCCCCCGCCCTCCCTCCCATTTTCCTCGATCAAACATGTATACAAGTGACCTCCCGCCTGCCTGCCCCCTTCCCTCGGATCAAACACTGTATACAAGTGACCTCCCGTCCTGGCTGCACCCTTCCTCGGATCAAACACTGTATACAAGTGACCTCCCGTCCTGCCTGAAACCCTTCCCTGGATCAAACATGTATACATGACCTCCCGTCCTGCTGCACCTTCCTCGGATTCAAACATTTGTATACAAGTGACCCCCTCTGCCTGCACCCTTCTGGATCAACACTGTATACAAGTGACCTCCCGTCCTGCCTGCACCCTTCCTCGGATCAAACACTGTATACAAGTGACCTCCCGTCCTGCCTGCACCCTTCCTCGGATCAAACACTGTATACAAGTGACCTCCCGTCCTGCCTGCACCCTTCCTCGGATCAAACACTGTATACAAGTGACCTTCCGTCCTGCTTGAAACCCTTCCTCGACCCAAACACTGTATACAAGTGCCCTCCCGTTCCTGTGGCACCCTTTCTCGGATCAAAAATTAAAAGTCAAATCACTGTATGACCAGTAGAGGAGACAGGTTTTCACCCACATTTGCTCCTAGAGACCTGCCTATGAGTTGTGACACTAGTCCACATCAACTGAGTTGTACTGTGACATTAGTAATGACATAGTGCCACATCAACACTAGTTGTACGGACATTTGTATGACATAGTGCACCACACTGAGTTGCCCTGTGGACATAGTATGACACTAGTGCCACATCACACTGATTGTACTGTGACACTAGTATGACACTATTTCCAATCCACTGATTTTGTACTGTGACACTAGTAGGGACAAGTGCACATCACACGAGTTGTACTTGACACTAGTTTTGACATTAGTGCCACATCACACTGATTGTACTGTGACATTTGTTGACCTAGTCCCCCACTCACACTGATTTTGTACTGTGACACTAGTATGACACTTGTGACATCACATGAGTGTACTGTGACACTAGTATGACACTGTGCCACTCACATGAGTTTTACTGTGACACTAGTATGACTGTGCACATCACACTGAGTTGTACTGTGACACTAGTTGCATAGTGCAATCACATGGTTGTACTTTTGACACTAGTATGACACTAGTGCCAATCACACTGAGTTTTTACTGTACCTAGCATGACATGTGCACATCACCTGATTTTGTACTTGACAACTAGTATGACACTAGTGAAACTTTCACACTAGATTGTACTGGACACTAGTATGACACTAGTGCCACATCCACTGAGTTTTTACTGTGACACTGATGACACTAGTGCCACATCACACTGAGTTGTACTGTGACACTAGTATGACACTAGTGCCACATCACACTGAGTTGTACTGTGACACTAGTATGACACTAGTGCCACATCACACTGAGTTGTACTGTGACACTAGTATGAACAGTGCCCCCCACCCACACTGATTTACTGTGAACACTATTTATGACACTAGTGCCACATCACACTGAGTTGTACTGTGACACTAGTATGACACTAGTGCCACATCACACTGAGTTGTACTGTGACACTAGTATGACACTAGTGCCACATCACACTGAGTTGTCTGTGGCATAGTATGACACTTGCCACATCACACGATTTTGTACTGTGACACTAGTATGACACTAGTGCCAATCACACTGATTGTACTTGACCTAGTATGACCTAGTGCCACATCACACTGAGTGTATGGGGCACTAGTATGACCAGTGCCACATCACCCCTGATTTGTACGTGACACTGTTGACACTGTCCCACATCACACTGAGTTGTACTGTGACACTAGAGGGACACTAGTGCCACATCACACTGAGTTGACTGAAGACACATAGTAGGGACACTAGGTGCCACATCACCTGAGTTGTACTGTGACACTAGTATGGACACTAGGCCCCCCTCACATGCCAGTTGGATACTGGGGCCCCCAATAGGTATGACACTTGTCCCCCCCCCTCCCACAAAACTGCCACACTCTCCCCCCCCCCCAACCATTAATTTTTTCAATTTATGCCCAACCCCGAACATTAAACACCCCAAACGCATTTTTTCAAAAAATTTAAAAGGGGCTTTTCATTATTATTTTTTTCGAGTTATAATGCCGTCAAAAAAGCTGATATTATTGTTTAAAAATCCGCAAAAACCTCCATCATTAATATACTTTATTACAAAAGTCACCATTTTTTTTTTTTTGAGGAACACGTATCTTTACTTATTTTTTCAATTCTTTAATTTTTTTATTTTTTTTTTTTTAGTTTTTGGGGGGGTTAAAAATTTTGGTCAGTGAGCAGGACGAAGTTTCTCGTACATCAGACAACTGAAGACGTGACTGGCGACCATCAGTATTTTGTACCAGTCTCTGGTGGCCTGGTGGTTAACGCTCTGGCTTCACACGGTGAGGGCCTGGGTTCGATTCCCAGCCAGAGTAGAAACATTGGACGTGTTTCTTTCCACCTGTTGTCTATGTTCCCCATCAGTAAAATGGGTACCTGGGTGTTAGTCGACTGGTGTGGGTCGCATCCTGGGACACTGACCTAAGGAGGCCTGGTCACAGACCGGGCCGCGGGGGCGTTGACCCCCGGAACTCTCTCCAGGTAAACTCCAGGTAATTACACTGCTGAAGAGGAACTGACGTCGATTTTACAAAAGCTGAGTTGAATAATATTGTTGTATTTTAGTGGTATATAATACCACTGATATACCCCAGTCAGTGGTATACAATACCACTGATATACAACCATCAGTGGTATACAATACCACTGATATACAACAATCAGTGGTGTACAATACCACTGATATACAACCATCAGTGGTATACAATACCACTGATATACAACAATCAGTGGTATACAATACCACTGATATACAACCATCAGTGGTATACAATACCACTAATATACAACAATCAGTGGTATACAATACCACTAATATACAACAATCAGTGGTGTACAATACCACTGATATACAACAAACAGTGGTATTTCAATACCAATGATATACAACCATCAGTGGTATACAATACCACTAATATACAACAATCAGTGGTATACAATACCACTAATATACAACAATCAGTGGTGTACAATACCACTGATATACAACAATCAGTGGTATACAATACCACTGATATACAACCATCAGTGGTATACAATACCACTAATATACAACAATCAGTGGTTTTACAATACCACAATACAACAATCAGTGGTTTTACAATACCACTGATATTTCAACATTTAGTGGTATACAATACCACTGATATACAACAATCAGTGGTATACAATACCACTAATATACAACATCAGTGGTGTTTCAAAACCACTGATATACAACAATCAGTGGTATACAATACCACTGATATACAACAATCAGTGGTATACAATACCACTGATATACAACAATCAGTGGTATACAATACCACTGATATACAACCATCAGTGGTATACAATACCACTGATATACAACAATCAGTGGTATACAATACCACTGATATACAACAATCAGTGGTATACAATACCACTGATATACAACCATCAGTGGTGTACAATACCACTGATATACAACAATCAGTGGTATACAATACCACTGATATACAAC